GTTTTCTATGTGCAGTATTTGATAATGTAAAACTGGTATTTTTGTGGTTTGTACGCTGCAAAATTGATTACTTAAGGTGCACGTAGTTTTGTAAGAAAATAGAACCAAACTGAGGAGAAAAGGAAAAAAAAACAATGGGATTCAGAAGCCTGTATTTGCATGCCCTTTGACATCTGGACGCAAAGTCAATAAAGTTTATTTGAATCACAGACATTCATTCTCCGTGTCTTCACTTTTCTAATGCAGGTCGTGCATTCTTTGTATCTTTGATGAATCTTTGTTCAAGTCACGTAAAAAGAGCTGCATTCTTTCCGATGGCCACCAGGGGGCACCTCCTCCCTATGGAAAAAGAAGTCAAACGTATAAAAGTCTATGAGGGGGAAAAAAAAACACCATTAATGACCTCAGCAAATACCTTTCTCTTGATTATATGGCCTCAGTTGCTGCTTTCACATATTTTTAATACAACGAGATGCTCATTTTATAAATTATGATCTCAATTAGATTAAAATGGACAAAGAAGTAGGCCACACAACAAAGCATATGAGTCAGCCACATATGAACATGTATGGCCACTAGTGGGCAGTAGAAACAAGCTTTATAGTATTACACAGTTGCACTTTTAGTTGATTTTGAGAGCCTACCACTTACTACTGTTTAAGTCATGCACATGCAGAGCAACATTAATGTGTCTATACTCAAACTACATTGAGCTTCGTGACCTTTGTGACCTGTACATGAGGCCAGAAAAAAATTACTAACAAACTTCCACAGTAGTAATAAACATCTGTGCAGCCACCCCTTCTTTTTTGTTGACAGCAGTCTAGCAGAATAGGCAATTTTCTGCAGAATGCAAACAATTCCTGCAGAAGAATCGTGTGAACAGGCATTTGCGTGGTTTAATAGTGTAAGAAATAATGAAAAGGGACTAAAGACAAAGCCCAGCAATGAACACAACCAACAAAACAACATAAAATTTAACCAAAACAATATTTATTTGCATGTTTTCACTGGGACAATTATCATATGTCACATATACGTTGTTAAATTTTATTGAAATTGTGTAAAGTGGGGCAAAGCATGTGGAAAAAACAAACAAACTAATATACAGAACATGTTGTTTAAGAAACATAATATACAGTGACATTCTGATAAAGAATTAAAATATACAGTATCTTGATCGACAAGTACGTACAAAGTTACATTCCTTTATTCGTTTTTATTTCACTGAAAAAATATCGGACCAAAAAAAAAAAGTAGCCTGATCACAAATGGAAAAGCTCAGGTGAGGCCTTAGCGTCCACAGAGGTGGACTTGCACTGCCTTTCCAGAAACTTTTGTTGACTGACAGATTTGCTGTTGCTGTGCTGGATGTGCTCTCTCTTATATAAATGTTGCTCTCAGTGGAGAAGGTGACTGCTGCTGTCACACTGTTGTGAAATAAGTCCTTATATGCTCCACATAGGCACCTCCTATATTGCTGCCACTCACATTAAAAGCAGCATCTTACCAGCTTAACACAAGTGTCAAATAAAATTAAAATAACAGAAACACAGCATTTCCATAAGCATTTATCAGAAAAGGCGGATTTAGCAACAGTTTTAAGAGAAATCGGGGCACAGAGATGGTGTGTGTGGGAGAAGCGTAAAAGCATCAGCTAAAACAGATGTGACAGATTGCCGTTGTACAATCGCTTTATGCTTCACAATGTGGTTTGGCCAGATTGTTAAATACAGCTCACTGTTTGCCCCCAACGTAAAGGGGAGGCCGTTACAGCAAAACTGGAAACCCACAGGATGCCATCGAGCACAGATGTTCGAGAGACACAAGGTGCACGTTTCTAGACGTGGAATATATAAAAAACAAAAACACATCGAAACACAAGTGCACGTGATCAAACGAGTCAACCAAAATCACATTCAGAGCACATGTTTTACCTATTTTTTTTATTGGTTTTTTGTCAGTCTTTATCAAAGACTGTGTCAGAGGGAGAAACATTCAGAGAGACACATTCGCAAATCTTAACAAACAGTACAGTACATACAATCAGAGCTAGATACACATTCTTTTCATGCAATTCAGTGGAAGCATCTGAAACCCGGCTGACCTTCACCTTGAAGTTTTCCGTCTCTGCTCCCACTTCTCTGTTCACCTCCTATTTACAGACATTCAACGTTATTTGAGGCCACTAATGCACCAGGTAGATTCATAACTGGAGGTGTTCGGGCGCTGATGACACTGCATGCAAAATTATTTCTTTCTTCTTCTTTTTTTTTTTTTTTTTTAAGTGTCCTACCCTTGGTGAAAAAACAGCACAGTGAAGACAGTGATGCTGGACTGCTGAATTGCTGTTTTTTTTTTTTTTCTATTAATCACTAGTTAAGTGGTTGAACAGGAAAAAGCATACAGGAATACTGTCCACTTACAGTAAAGCTAGTGTTGATCTTTGGTCTCCCAAAATATGGTTTTGGACTTTTGACATTTGAAGATTAAAGATTCTAAAAGAAGCCCTCTAGATATTCAGATGAAGACATCAATATTACGGGCTGTGTAGGTAGGATTTGTTGCTTGAATTAAATATTGTTAGATGAGTAGAATGTCTAGATATATGTGGCTAAAAACGGTTATGTGTATTTGTCTTCTGCATGCAGCATGAAGGGACTATTAGGCTAGCCTAGCTTTTATATTTTTTAATGATTATTAACTGAATTCGCAGCAGCTCATCTCACTTATGTGAAAATATACTTTTGAAAAGCTCTAAATCTCGAACTTGAAATTGGCTGAATAAAGTTGTAGCTGCTACACTTTGCAAATATGGCTGCTGTTAAAATGTAGCTATGTCTACGGTGGCCCTGAGAGGTCACATGCACTGCAACTGTAGAAAACACCAGCAAAACATTAAAATTTTGCAAAAGCACCACAGAAGTTGATTAAAACATAACGGACATAGAAAAAAAAATTCGGACAAAACACAATGGACACTGTAGGTACATGGTTGCTGTTAGCCGTTTACTGTTAGCTGTTAGCCAAAAACATTTCTGTTGTGTTTTGTTTGATTTTTTTCTATTAGCTTCTCCAGTGTTTTTCTTTCTATTTCCATTGGGTTTTATTGAACTTCAATTATTTTTTGTGTGCTTTTGCACCATTTTTCATTTTTGCTGGTGTTTTATTAGGCAGCAGTGTGTTTGACCTCTCAGGGCCACTGTATATATCATCACTAAATGTCGCCCCATCAGTTGGGTAAATACTGGTAATGTAGGGCGTAAAGTATGAGCCACCTATTTAGATTATCTCGGTCTATTTGAGCTTTTAAAGCTAGGCTAACCCCAATGCCAACCCCAGTGCAATCTGATTAAATATGAAACAGTGCAATTCTGCAGCTGCTTGATACCCTCATAATGTTTCTGCACACAAGCTCTCTCTCATAAAGGCTGGGCAGAAAGAATGCTCTGGAGTCCTAACCAGTGGCCTCAGAACGGCCTTGTCTTAGTCGTCATATGAAAAGGTCCTGAAGGCAAACATGGAAATCTGCAGAACATGGCTATGCATGAGACGGCAAGAGGAAGCGCGGCCAGAGAGGAGAGAGAGAGGTAGTAGTGGTTTCTCAAACCTTCTTCTTCTTCTCCACCTCAGTCTCCTCCTCCTCCTCCCTTGCATCAGAAAATGTTTAATGGAGAGTCTGATCCACGTCGTTTCTCTTCTCCTTTTGTGGGTCGTTGGCGCTCCATCGAATCTCAGATAGACAAGCTCATTTCCACACGTGCGCTGTCATGTGTGCCGAACTTGGAGCTGCTGAACCTCCCATTTGTTGACCGCTGTATCCCATCATACCGCTGGTGTTGTAAAGATTCATGCCGGCCATGTGCTGAGTCATCTGAAGGGCACAAAATGAACTTTAGCAACGGATCCACTCCTCTCCCAACTTTCAAAACCCCAAAAAACAAACACACACCTGACTGATGTTCCACTGTAGCTGCTGGGCTTGCTGGACTCCGTAAGCCTGCTGCTGGGGTAATGCGGGCAAACCCCCAACCTGCTGCTGCTGTCCCATCATCCCACTTTGTTGCTGTCCTATAATGCTGTTCTGCTGCTGTACCATCATTCCAGTTTGCTGCTGTCCCATCATTCCTGTCATGTAGGGCGATGGCACAACGCCGCTAGGCTGAGCCGTGACACCCTGAGCGCCCATTAAGCCATTCTGCTGCCCCATCATGCAGTTCTGCTGAATTCCAATCATGTTGTTTTGTGGCACTGCCATCACCCCGCTCTGTTGCTGCCCCATCATGGCCATCTGTGATGTCATCATAGTGCCTCCCATTCCCCCCGCCTGGGCTAAAGAATGGTATGGCCCGTACGGGTGTGTTGGATATCCCATTTGGTTCATGTACAAGCCTGCTGAGAGCAATCACAGACACCAATAACGATGAGCAGACTATCACCGTGTCAACATCCAGATCTGGACCACATCGGACAGAAATCTTATAAACTCTTACCATGTGCAGCCATACTGCTGGCATGTACCGAGGGAGTGGAGGCGTACAGGGAAAGAATGGAGTCCTTGGATAGTTTCTTGACAGTGCCCTCCTCTGCTTTGGGTGCTGCGTCTAAGAACAAGCTCAGATTCTCAGGCACCGAGGCAGTCACTCTGCTCTGAGGCATGGTGCTGGAAACAGACTGGACAGACACAAGGCAAAGATGAAAGTGTGTCTGAATGTACGCAAATAAAAACTCAGCAGCTTACAGCATGTACAGTGTGTTGTCTACTACCGTGCTTTTTGTAGAGGAAGCAGGGGAGGGGGCTGCGAGTGAGCTGAAGAGATCCAGGGCAGAGTGTGCAAGGGCTGCGTTAGACACCACTGGGCTCTCATTACTGTCTGGAACACATCCTCCACCATTAGACACCGCAGGGCTTGGAGCTGGGGCATCTAATAGAGGCAATGATGATAACAACCGTTTCAGGTATCCACGTTCAAAGCAGCTCATCTAATTATGATTCAGCTTTCTGTCCTAAAATAGATGCCTGGCATGTTTATTTGCTTTTTAGGTGCAGACTTGCAACATAAAGCAGTTCTATATTAAGACAGCAGTTTGCTAGTGTGCTAATATTTTGGACTCTGTGTTAGTGTAAGCGCATGCGTGCAGGTGCATAAGGCAGAATACCTAATCCAAGCAGGTCTGTGACAGACTGGGAATCTGTCTTTGGGCTGACGTCCTTTTTCTGTCACAACAGAGAAAATCAGTGTAATTAATGCAACAATTCTGCACTGGCGAATGAGTCTGTCTGCCGATTCTTTTACTCTTCACACTCACTAGTGGTATAAAATGACTGTTCCATTCAAGTCACCACAATAAGAGTTACCAGCTTTTCTCTGCCTTTTGTTGACGCCTTTTCAAATACAGGGATGACCAAGGTTTATAATTAAGTTCAACAAGAATGTTTCATTTTCAGTGTTTGACTTAACTTTGTCTCACTAGATAATATCATAGAAATTTTAAAACAAGAATGTTTCATTTGAAAGATTCTATGAGATTGTCTAGTGAGAAAAAGTTAAGTTTTACAATATGCATCATATGTCCAGATGCTAAAATGTTTATATCAATTCAATTTTATTTATATAGCATCAAATCACAACAGTTGACTCAAGTTGTTTTGTTTTGCAAGGTACAGAGTTTACAAAAATACAGAGAAAACCCCAAAAATCAGACAACCTCTTATCAGTGCCAACCAAGCACCTGGCGACAGTGTGAAGGAAAAACTCCCTTTTAACAGGAAGAAACCTCTGGTAGAACCAGGCTCAGGGAGGGGCAACCATCTCTGGCAACCGGTTGGGGGTTAGCTTTGGACCTTTTTTTAAAAATGTTGTTCAGGCTTGAAGACAGGGAGTGTGGTTGCGACGATTGACTACTACTCCATTAGACTTAGGTTGCCTCTTGATTTTTTTTAAATTAATTTAGCAACTTAACAATATAATAAACAAAACCAAGATAACAAAGGCCAGAATGGAATCTCTGGGCTATGATATGAACATGGAATGATGCACCTACCAATTTCATCTTCTCAAATACAACTGGCTCCTTTGGGATGTTGTCACAACTCTTTTCTTTCTGCACAAAGAAAAGAAGTGGTTTTGTTTGACGACACTTAAGGCTGGTCGAGGGTAGCAGGAAAGAAAGAGAAATTCACTCTCCAAACCTGTTCTGCAGATTCTGCTGGAGACACAAGAACAAACACGTGGATCTGTTTGTGTGGACTCACCCTGAGCATCTGGATGTCAATGACTTTATCCATGTATTTCTTCTTTTCGTACTTGTCCCTAATAAAGACCTCGGCAGCCTGGTCTGTCTCGGGACGCTGGAAGCACTCGGGTAAAAAAGCCTCGTAGAGCCGTTTGGCCTTGGCATTTCCCATCTCTTGAACACACTGGGGATACCAACAGAGAACAAAATAACTGACACATTGCAAAGAAATCTAGTAATGTTCAAATGCAATATCCAAGGTGTCCTTGTTAAAGTGCGGTTATATGAAAAAGCAGGATTCTGTGAGAGCTGTAGAGAACTTAAGAAAAAGTGCTGACCAAAGAAATCCCCTCACACTGAGAAGCATCACGCTGACTGTCTTGTCTATCAGACCAGACGAGATGAGCTGCATACTAAAGAGAAAGAGGCTACTCGGAGGTGGAAAATCCTCAGTTATACTGTATGTGAAAATACCAACTACCAGATAAAATAAGCATATATACACAGAGTAAAATGACTAAATTACAAAAAATTATTTTGTTGTTTATTTTCTATCCATCTCTATATTGTATGGAAATCTATTTTATTTAAAGGTTTTATTTTCTGAAAGATTTTCACAAAAGAAGCAACAGCTTAGAACTGATTAACACAATCTTATTTACTTCATCTTTTAAGTAACCGGTTTAAAAATGAACAGTAGTGGTTTGATGGACAGTAGGCATACTGCATTGTCTCGATCTTATGCTAAGCTAATTGGTTGATTGTGATTTGGATCCACAGTATACCCCCCCCCCCATTACATATGTTTTACTGGGTCATAATGCATCCCCTTAGCTCATCCTCTATCTGAAATAAGCTGTCTCTTTAATGCGCCACTCCTTAATAGACAACCTTCTTCTGATTGGATGCCCCTCACTTGGCTTCCACAAACAGAACCCATGCCTTGTAAGCCACCTTCTAGTCTGAAATGACCATATAAGGAAATTTGAGCCAGGCTAGTGTCAGTTAAGCTAATTAGAGAAACTTGAAAAACAAACAGACAATCAAAAAACAAACAAGAAAGCCAACATTTATAGCGTTTAATAATCAGGGACAGTTCAAAAATATTTAACCCAATATTTAAAAGCTTTTGGGTTTTTTAGTGGTTATGAAATTTTCATAGTGAAGACCTCTGACCTGGACTTGCTCCTGCGTCCACTGATCCAGGTTGACAGACTTGACCTTGGAGATGTGAACCCCTAGGTTTCGATGGATACCAGCACAGCGGATACAGATGAAGATGCCCAAATTCCAGGATGCCCATCGTGGACCTGGAAGAGCAATGGGGGGGGGGGGAGAATTTAGAGGAGAGAGTCTTTGCAGAGAAGCGATGCAAGGAGGTGGTGATAAGTCAAGCTAAAGGTATAAAAGGGATTTAGGTTAAACAAGAAAGAGGGCTAAGTGAGTAGACTAGAGAAACATGATGAGGGAAAAAAAACAATTAATTTTAGACCAATTATAAAGAGACGAGTCTGAAACCTCAATTATGAGTCTGAACTCAGCAGGGACCACATCTAATCCTGTGTAAGTCATGCGGTGGCCTAACACGTAATAGGATCCAATACGAGAGTTAGCCTACATAACTGAGAGGCGAGAGAAGGAGTACAAAGTCCCACAAACACACACCTCACACACACAAGCAATCACACACACTCAGGGCCTGGATACCTGCAGGGATGATTACTCATTTGATCAAGAGCCTGTGTGTGTGGGAGCACAGTGATTTGAGCCAAACGTATGGATCCACTCAGATTTTGTGGAGACCTGTTTATTGCTTATGCTGCATATGTTTTTAGCTTAAAAGCATGCTTGCAAATCTCCCTTCTATATTCAGAACACAAAATAAATAAAAACATCTTAGATGAGATCGTTATTTATTTATTTTTGCTCAAGATATGCAACCATCGTCTTTGGGGACTGCACTCAGCTTCAAAGATAATATTTGTGCTGCTCTTACATCTTTACCATATCTCCCTCCTCCTCTTTCCTTGCCTCCATCTCTTTCTGCGACTCTCTGCCTCCACTTCTCCAAACCATCTCTGCTGTGAGTCCCTGCAACCCTGCTGCCACAGGTCCGTGCACTGTGGCCTTCACGCCACTAGGGGGAAGAGCAGCTTTTCGATTTGGATTTCTCCTCTTCCGGCAGATAAAGGCATTGTGCGGAGTTTAAGAAAAGGCCATTCTATGCAAATGAAAGGGGAAGTCGAGTTTGAGAAGGGAAAAACACGCAGCGCCTTCCTCTTTTCCTCTGAGAAAAACACTGCAATGAATACGCTCCTTCTTGAATCCTACTAGAATTCTGTTTGCACTATTAAGAGTTAGTTTTCAGTTTTCTCCATCTTTTTAAACTGCGAATCACAAATGCAAAAAACAGAGAGTCACCATGTGCACTGTTCTTCCTCACTGTCTAGCTGCAGCATTAGCTGTCTACTGGCTAATAATAGTAGAATTACTCCGCAAAGCCTGCTTAGCCACTGTACATGCCGACACAGACACAGAGAAAGACAGAGACGCTGTCAATAGTGTTGAAGTCCCTGAACACTGGAATTAGTTTGTCCTTCTCATCTCTTATTCTAATGCTCCCTCTGTGCTCTGGCCGCCATTTCTTATCTTTCTCACTACGGCTGCCTCCCTCGTGTTCTCCTTTGTCTGCTTATATCTCTTTCACACCAGTTCCATTTCTTCCTTTCTGTTTATTTTCTGCCCTCATGTTTTCTGGGATTTGTGGGAATGCGTTTTCCATTCTTTGCATATTGAAAAGTTTCTCTTTTTTTTTTTTAGCAATGCACAGTTTTGACTGATGTCTCTACAAAAAAATAGGCGAGTCTATGATAACAATTAGATCAGCTGTCATGAAACATAGTTTAGGTGCTCCTGATGTTCAGAAGATGAATCATAGCTGACCTGACCTCTTCTCAGTCATCATTATGAGGCTGATGTCTGTGCTTTTAGCTGAAATGTCTTCGAAATTATGGCATGCGTTACAATAGCTTAACTTTGCTTCAACAGGCAGAGCCCAACCACTATACGTTTGTATTTTGTCCCTTTAGACACACAAAACATAGATTTCCCTAACATCTGTTACGTGTAACTCTTTATTTACTCATTTGGCCTCGTTTGTCTGACTCTCCTCCGATGGTTGTTTGGTTGTTATGTTGCCAGCAGGGAATCTGTAGAGTGCCGTCTGGTAGACAAACTATGCAATGTAAATCCCCAAAAGTTGATTCTGTCATCTGGACGTAGCGTTTTCAGTGGGAGAAACGTTTCATCACTCATCCGAGTGACTTCTTCAGTCTCAGCTGACTGCAGGTTTCCCCAATCTCATAAACACCTACAGGTCAGTGCACACTCTTTCAATGATGAGGATGTACACATCCTGGACAGGGAGGAACGCTGGTGTGAACGCAGAGTCATGCGAGAAGGGAAAGACCATCTCTGAATCGAGGAGGGGGCCTAAGGTTACATCTTTCGCCATCTTACAATGCTGT